GAGAGCCATCATACTGGGACAAGCTGAACTGCTGAATCTAGATGAAACTCAAGGAGGCAGTACAGAATAAAGAGTCCTGAGCCAGTACACGGACAACTGTGGAAAGCCGGGATAAAAATCTCCAGGCTGTCTGCTGAACCCTCAGCCAGTCACTGGTTTCCCATCCACTAACGAGGAGAGTGTGCCGCCTGGAAGCAGGGATGACTTCATGCACACTGTGGCTGACTTCATCAGGACACAGAGAAACACATCTATTATCTGTGTGTGTGTGTCTGATCATTAGGGAACAATAGTGGGTCTATGAGTCCCTGTTGCCACCTCTCCCCCTGTTAAACAAAGAACCCTTTTCTGAGGTGCATTCCACAAAACACACACACACACACACACACACACACACACACACACACACAGAGTGCACTTATGGTGACCGACTACAGTACCATTACGGCGGAAGTTGCAGAACCCACTCAACTCAAAGACATAGTGTGAATTTAGAGCTGGGCTCACAAACACCCATGAGAACAATTTGTTTTATCTTTTTACCTTCCCAAGTGCATACAGTGACATGAGTCAGGCCAACTGCCACAGTCACCTTCATTTAAGGTGAACAGTTACAGAAATAAAACACATTACCCAGAATACCACAAACAGTATGCAGCAATCAGTAACCAGGGTTCTGTTGTTTACCATGTACACGCATGTTAATGTTCTGAATATGATCTAAACTTAAAAGCATTAATACATTTTTTTAAAAAGACGCATCTATATTAGGAGAGTCAGTGATCGTTAATTGGCCCACGGCTGTTAAAGATTTAATTTTAACAATCCAATAATTTTATCAGTCACAATTCAAGGAAAAATGCAACATGATATTCAGTTTTTGTTACACGTATATTAAGAAAAGTAAGTATCTTCCACTGATTATTCCGTGATGAAATCTAATATTGAGCTGATCCTGCTCAGGTCCAAACTGCATCTCATGCACAAGAAACTGACAGACTGACAGAAACTGAAGACCTGTGGAACTAAGTGAAATGACACTTTATTACTTTATCTGGGAATAATCATGTTTTAACTACAAAAATGTTTTCATTGAATATAAGAAGGCACAATTTTATAACACTAAACTGTGAAAAACACCTAGAAAATACAGACCAAAGTGAACGTCATCATTTAAATCAGAAAATCTGTGGATAAGTCCAAACACTTGAGCAAAAACAGTGCCGGCTTTCACCCTAATAGTAAGACCAAATACAGACATCATTCGTCTACTTCTGTGTACTCCCAGACGCAAAGTGTTTGGCCGATAAACAGCAGATATGTGACTTTTGACCTCAGATGTGAGTGCTGCCTCTCAGTAGTCATCAGCGTTTCCTCTCATTTCCTGTTCCGGCTGCAGACCGGACTGAGTTACGGCTGATCTCAAGTCACTGCCTGTGTGGCGTAAGGTCAACGGCTGACCTCAGGGCCACTGATGGACAGCCTGGCCATGGAAGATCCTAAAGGACCTCTATGCTCATTCTCTCCTTCAAAGCATTTATTCATTATATGTCTCAGAGAAGGAATTCAGTCCAAAAAGTGACCCTGAATTCCCTGAGTGAGACACATTTGATCCTACTTTTAAACACGGCAGTAAATGCTCTTCATTTGCTTTCTTAGCTTTGGGGTGTCATCCATCTTTTCTAAGGGTTCAGGAGAGCTGCAGATCTTTCTCTACCTGTTGATAGGAATGATGTGAAGTAGTGAAATGTAGCATACTAAGTATATTATATAGGAGAATATAGTACTTTTAACTGACAATAACTTAATATTTTAAAGAGAAAGGTAGAGCAACACAACCCCTCCAGCAAAGAGAAGATAAAAAAAATTGTCTCTGAAGAATGACATTATATCTCTCCAAAATCACATGATATTTGGTATCATCCATTGAGCCTGTCATCACAAATAAAGGTGGACAGACAAAGTCCAGAAAAAACAAATACACTTCCTACTATGGGGCCTGAGTTTGCATGTTCTCCATCTTCGGGTTCTCCGGCTTCCTCCCACACAGTCCAAAAACATGTTGAGGTTAATTGGTGATTCTAAATTGTCTGTAGGTGTGAGTGTGAGTGTGCTTGGTTGTCTGTCTCTAAGTGTAGCCCTGTGATAGACTGGTGACCTGTCCAGGGTGTCCCCTGCCTTCACCCTAAGTCAGCTGGGATAGGCTCCAGTCCCCCTGTGACCCTAGTGAGGATTAAGTGTGTATAGATAATGGATGGATGGATTGCACTGGAGTGTACTCACTTCTGTTCCAGCCTGTAGAGTAATTTTTGTAAAAGCACTTTGTCTTCATAAACTGATGTCTATGTTTGGATCCGCTGGGCTACACGAGCTGACTGCTTATCCATCCTCCAACAGCGACAGTACAACAGTGGAATGCTGCTTACATTGTCTCAACATCCACCTTCTATAATGTCACCTACAATCTAATCATGGCTAATTGTCACATTTACCACAGTGACAATTAATTTAATGACTTTTTTACTTTTACATTTTCTTATAAGTAGACTTTTTAAATTTGCACAGAATGTTCTGGATTTAGAATCCAAGGAGCCTAACATGCCTAACGTTCAATAGTAAAGAACAATTCTTAAGCAAATACTACAGTTAATGATGTAATAAACTTTTGTTATGTCATATTCTTTGGTTGAGTTCCCTTTTAAAGAATAATTTGGCTTCATTTTCCCAGTAGTCACAAGTCATTTTTTGAGAGGCATAGTACATAAAAAAGGATTTCACACATAAGTTGTTTTGGATGCGTGTCAGTGTCTCAGTATAGATACAGCTTTAAGTCTATATTTGTTCATATTTATACCGTGTGTACTACATCAAAAACAATAGAAAGTATGCACAGACACTACTGCTTTTCCACTTATGCTGTACTGAAAAAAACTTTAATACACAGCCCCAAAGTGGATTTTTTTCGGCTACTAAAATGTAATGCTGCTGGTGATGATCCTGTTTATCTTTATGTCACTGCGTCAGCCAGCAGGGACCCAGTGAATATTAGGATAAATAAGCTCCTCCACCCACCCGTTCCATCTGGAGACACCCGGGCTCTCCTGAGACCCTGAGCCAGACACCGTGACCTCTGGAGTCAGGCATCAGTGGGCGCCGCCAGGTTCCCCGTGGAGGACCAGCCTCAATAATCCTGGTCTGTCTGTCACACGGCACACAGCCAGTGTCATGAGAACAGAAGACAGACAGGGATAGAAACATGCAAACTGGGCTTCTTTAAAACAACTTTCATTCAAAATCCATTAGGTTCAGCCAACCACAATGGAATTACAAAAAAACTGCTACATAAGTAACACCAGTCCAGACTGTGGACACGCTGACCACACGTTGGTCTCTTTTAGCCAGTTTGTTTCTTACTGGATTAGTAGTTGTGTAATGAACCACATGCTGTGCGTTCTGTAGGTGTTGTCCTTACGGCTGATGAACATCAGAGCTTTGACATGCCTCCTGCTGGGTCATTGTTGCTATTACTCCATTTTTACTAACAAGTTTAATTGTTGCTGTGCTATGCCCCACCTTTTTCACATTTTCATGTATCAGTAAACTCTAAGGTTATTACCCAGATGCCTTACCTTATATACAATATTCATGTTATTCTAAAATGATCTAGATTTTCCACTTTAAATTTCTAAGACGAATGGGTTATCATGTCAGTGGCAGCCACAACAAGTAGTTCATTATTGGTAATAGTAAGCTTCCTGAAACTCTACATCAGTGCACCTCTAATTCCACACAAACATCATAATATGATCAACACAAGATCCAGAACTGGTTTGCAGTCAACGTGTGGGCAGCTGTGCCCTCAGCTCCAGTCATGTAGTAATCACAGAGTCAGCAGGTTTAACAAAAGACAATCCATAATGATCAGGACTTTTCCCCTCCCTATTGGGGTGAGGGGGGGGGGTTGGTTCCCTCCCACCGTTGCCGAGCGCGTGCTCATAAGGAATCCAAATGTAACTTTGGATTTTTGGGTTCTCCGTTCAAAGTTCCTCAGGTCTGCACCTGACTGTGTTAAGCTCTGTGAGAAGACATGTTGTGAATTTGCACCATTCAAATAAAATGGAAGTGAACTGAACTGAATGATGAATAGATATCACCACAGATGCCTGCTCCACTGTGGAGAGCACTGAGTTTGACACAAAGTCATCTGAAGCACTTACCCAGCATCACAGACTTAAAGAGGACAGCTGACAGAGAGAGCTGATGGTTAACGTTCTGTCTGTTGTGCGCGTGTTTTCTGTCCAGCTTTCACACTCTAGAAGTTGTCTCAGCACACACACACTTCGCTGGGCTGCTGTACTTCAATCTAGCTCAGTGCCTGTGTGAAATGGCTCACTGCCTGGTTCCTGGAGTGTAGGCGGCTATATTTACATAAAGTGGAGTTATTAAAGATTTCAGGTCAGACAATATTGGTGCTCAGTAAGACATTTCTGTGTGTGTGTGTGTGTGTGTGACTGCACAAGCAGCAAATGTACAGAACCTTAATTGTAGCATTACAGTGAAGTCACAGATTGGACTCAGTTTAACACTAGAGAGTGAGGATAGACAACTAAGACTGCAGGATGTCTCATTTCAGATCCAACATTGTCACGTGTACATGTACAATAATCATATTGCACTACCTGTGAGGTAGGAACTCAAACACGTCATGCTATGACTTTTTTGCTGCTTGATAGAAAAACATTAAATTTTCACGGTTTTCATTTTCAGTGACAAATCTACAAGAGAAGTGTGTCTGGTATAACCAGATAGTTCCTCTGGATGGCAATGCCTTGGTCTCTGGTTCTACTGTAAAGAACCTTGGAGTTATTTTTGACCAGGATATGTTTTTGAACTCACGGACAAAACAAATCTTTCTGTCACCTGAGTAATACCGTCAAAATAAGGAACATCCTGTCTCAGAGTGAGGCTGAGAAAGTAGGCCATGCATGTGTAACTTCTAGACCAGACTATTGTAATTCCTTATTATCAAGACGTCCCAATAATTCTCTTAAACATCTCCTTTTGATGAAGCTTACTGCTGGCAAAGCTGACTATACTGTTCTCACTACGTGTTGTATACGCCCAGTATGTTAACGTAGATTAACAGCAAGCCAAACTCGATTTTACGAGCCAGGATCAGAGCGTCTTGCTCCCTTTATTCAAGATGACTCATGAAATTACGAGTGAAACTGTAACAACAAGAAGAAAAAAACAAGAAGAATGTTCACAATCACTGTATAAGTTCCTTAATTTGGACAGATCAAAACTAAGCTCCAACATCAGCTTTAATATATACATTGTACTGCAATGAACTAGTGAGGTAAATTATTGACACTGCAATGAACTCGTGAGGTAAATTATTAACAAGATAAATGCCGACTGATGGTCCAATTTATGCCACTAGATGGCGGTATTGTCATGCTGAACAACATAGCCAAGCTAACATGTGTCAGAGCTAACAGCACAAAGTTACAAAACGATCTCTAAAAACACACATAAGGCACTTAAAAGTATTGCAATTGTATGACTTTAACTTCCAAACAACTTATTACTTACTGCCATTGCTTTCTGGAGCATGAGAAGGTTTGAGGAGAGAGGACGGATTTCGCCCGTCTGCATCAACTACGCAGCTTCTTATCAGCAGTTTCCGACAATTTACAGCAATGCGCTGCGGCTTCCACAAAAAGCCCCTTCAAAATAAAATACTAAAATGCTGCAATAAAGTGTTCTTACTTCTAATCTTTTTTAACTGTTTAAGAACTATGAATTAACATTATAAAATAACTTGAATAACTGCAGGGCAGCACACTGACCTTGAACCATTCCTTAGTTATGCTGCTACTGGCCTCGACTACTGTGTGACAGATGGCCACCCTCCCTGACCTTGGTTCTGGTACAGAGGAGGGTTTTTCCTCCCACTGTTGGGTGCTTGCTCAAAGAGAACCTAAAGGAAACACTGGATTTGTTGGGTTACTCTCTATAATTTTGTGAAGTGCCTTTAGTTGGCATATTATTAAATGGCAAATGAAATTGAACTGAACTGAACTGATCATCATACACTCCAACTTAAAGGTTTTTACAGCTTTTTTTTTTTTTTTTTTTTTTAATAGTTTATTTGTAAATCATGAAATTTGGGGGGGATGGAAGCTCCACAAGTGAAAATCAAAATGAATGGGAAACAGGGGAGAAACACTGAAAAGAAATATAAGATGACTTGTATGACCATTTAAATCAGCACCACAGAGTTCTGTATGATTAGTGCATAGCCAGATGTAAATGCCATCCAAAGCAAAAAATGTTTCAGAAATCTTTGCCAGTGACTCAGTTAAAAAAAAAAGTCTTTACAGTACAGTCTTTTTCTTTTCGCTTATATCTTATATCTTATATTTTCTTTGTATATGCACTCACCCACAAAATTAACCAATTATTTAAGAATTATTATTTGTTTACAAATACAGTTCAAAAGTAAAAGTTAAGGTTGGACATTGCAGGAGGGTCTTAGAAACTGCTGAGGTCTTATGTTTGCTGTATTACGGAGTTGTGCTAAATGTGTGAAGAAAATGTGCCACCGAATGATCGAGCAACAGACAGCATGATGCCACAAGAACATGTGAAAAAGCTGTGAAGCCAGCAGCTAAGGAAGAGTCTGAAAAGTCCATTTGACTGGCAGCAAGAGAATTAAGACAGGCAGTATGATGCTAAAGAAATATAGTGTATTAAGAAAAAATCTCACAAGTACTGTGAGAGAAATAAAGTTCATAGCACTGAGACAAACTGCACAAGTTCAGTGATTTTCATAAAGGATCAGACTGTATAGATAGGCTGCTGTGACTTCAGTGAAAGGACTGACCACAATAAAAAACTGATGATTTGGTTATTTTATCATCCAGTGGTTGAATGTGCTCCACACCACAGCTCATATTACCCCTAGTCTGTGGTAAACTAAGACACAAGAGCAACTTTTATGTGTCAGGATTTTAAACTGCACTGGGCATGACATGACTGTAAAACTATACAGTATTCTAAATAACCCAGAAACCCATACACATCATAATGAATAAAATTCAATAAGCACATTTCAATACAACCTAATGTTGCACTGGTGCCTGAATTATTTTACAGACAACTAGAAAAGGGAATGAATAATTTGTTGTATCAGTTATTTTCACATGCAGGCGAAGCAAAACCTCATTCTGATGGCTGCAGAGAGAACTCGCCTGCAAGGACACAGCAAGAAGAAGCCAGAATACCTGCTGGTGTTTTAAGAATTTGTCAGTTGCAAAAAGAATTCAGGTCTGTGCTTTACTCCAGTAATCTTAGAACAGATTTTAACAATCAATGCTGTTCCAACTCTTTGAGTCTTTTACTGTAAGGCTGTGAAACCAGCATACAAAAGAAAAACTCAGAAGACTTTCAATAAAAAGTGGTAAAAACGATGCAGAATGCCAGGAGTGACAGAGAAGGAATTTAGCTTGCAAAAAAGGTGAATTGTCTGTGGCCCAGGCTTTTAAAATAGCTTCTGCTTTTACATCAAGCTGAAGGTTACAGGCAAAAATAGTGCCAAGATATGTGTATAATGTGACAGTTTCCACATGTTCATAATGTATAATAGACCCTCTCACTGCATCTCTGTTGTGTCTAAAATCAATAATTAGTTCTTTGGTTTTTGATACATTTAAGTCAAAGAAGTTGTTATTACATCAAGAAATAAAGTCAGTGAGGCCTTCCTGTGGTCAGATCAGTGGTGGAGCAGGTTCTGAACACAGACTAGATCATATGAAATATGCCACTGCTCTCTACTGGCAGTCAGAATTTGCCAGTATAAGACATTATTAGCAGTGATGACACAGGTGGCTCAGCTACACCAGCTATCCATGCCTTGTACACAATGAGCAGAACAATAATTTAGCTGCTCTGTACACTTATCACAGTACAATTCAAACTAAAATGCAGCCAACTAACTACAACGTCAGCAAGCTATAGCATAAGCTGAATACACGTTACAAACTAAGAGCACCAATGTAGTTAACCACTAAAGTAGCAACACAGCAGGGAGGTCAAACTTTCTACCCATGCTGCAACCACAGTGAAGGCAGTCGGATACACAAACACAGTATATTGACATAAATGAGATATAATCTAAGCCATTTTAAAGGTTAATTTTTCATTTATTTATTGTGTTTTGTTGAAAACAGATCTCATTTTGGACTCTTAAGTTGGAAAAGGCACACCTGGACACATTTTTCTGAGCTTTATAAAATGACAGTTTTAATTATCATAATTGTCAGTGAGGTTTGTATTGCTTAACAGTTATGAGCTGGTCGAGGAGACCACAGAAGAGAGATAATATAATTGTGCTCCCTCTGATACTGTTAATATACAGCTTAAGAGGAGTTTCTTCATCTGGCAGGAAAGCAACAGCAGCAGATTAGAAATTCAGGAAGGAGGAGAGGAAGACTGCCACAAGTCATACATAGCACAACGGAAAGCTGTTCAGATATGCCTAGAATAAGGAGGATGGCAAAACTGGGCTACAGTATGAAACAAAAGACAGACTGATGATGGGAAATAGTCAGTGTACTTTACTATTTACGAGGAGGAGGAGTGACAGCAGTAGTGTGTGGAGAGATTTCCAGCCAGTGTAAAGCACACCCTCACCCATGAACAAGGAAGAGATCAATGACCAGCAAGAACAGAGTCAGGACGGAAAGAGTAAAAACCAACCTTGTTTTCAGTTGGAAGGGTCCTGACAACTATTGTACAGACGTCTCTTTTATAACGATGGAGAAAAATATAGAGATGCCTTCAACATACTGGGAACCTTTTGCTATATGACAAACTCCACAATGCTAAAGAACTTTGTTCTAATTGGTCCAACATCTGTGTAGAATAAAGCAGAGTGCCAGTAAGGAGAGAAAAGGCCAAAGAGAACGTCCTGGAAAGAGACTTACCTAACCACTGTAGGAAATGATTAGCACAAGAATGTAACAGCTGGTGGAGAGACACTGAGGGGGCATAGAGGTACTTGGACTGGGACGAGAAAACAGGTGACAGAAACTTCTTTAGTGCGTTCACATAAATCCATTTGCTGCAAACCACCATGAAAGCACATAACAAAACCAGAAAGTTCAGCTGAATGACAAACCCAACCCTGGCATCCTCCCTGGCACATAACAGCCCATCACATGTCATGATATTGGAGTCTCTTCGCCTTCCACCGCTCTCCCAGTGACTGGCGAGCAGGTCTCTGGAGGTGTAGTCTGCAGCCACCTGGGCCTCGTGTCACTACCGTCTATGCCCACAGACCTCCCCAGATGTACGCTAAGGTTACCAGGGAGTGGTTATAGCTCTTGGGAAATGGACTTCACGGTCTAACCCCCCCTCCCCAACCAACTCAACCTAAGTGACATGCTCCTGGCAGGCTGCTCAGGGAGCACACAGGGGCATGGTCTCCATCCAGTGATCCCCCCTCAGTGTGGAGCGCCAGCTTTGTTCTGGTTGTGCAAATTTATTCATTTGATTAAAATCTAAAATAGGTCTCTATGTTCTTTGTGCGACCAACTGCCCTATGGCAATGTGTTATAAAAAAGGTAACATTATGATGATGATCGCAATATTCACAATAACAGTTGTAGTTATTATGAAAATGTTCCATCTGCTTTTATTTTTGTCTTCCTTTTTCATGTGTTGCGTGTTGTCTCCTTTTTGATCCGTCTGTATTGTTAGTGATGTAAGGCACTTCAAAAAATGCTGCTACATTCATTCAGTAATTGATAGCTTCTACTTTGCTATTTTGAACACTGCCATACCACTGACATCAGAGCTCAACATTTCATGCACACATTTCACAAAAAGCCTCCCAGAACTAAAAGTGCCACCTCAGATTTATATGCCTCCACCAACCATTCAAGTCGTAATTTAAATCCATGTTTTTTCAAGCTCAATCAGTAAAGGGATGGACACAAAAAATAGAGTCAAATTCTCTGTATCCATTCACACATTTGGCCAATACAGCAAATTTAGACAAAACACAACTGTGGAACAACAGTAGACAATATGAATGTTGCTACCAAGAAGCTACAAATTCTAAAAGTTGAATGATTCACATATGCAGCACAGACGGTCTATAAAATCACCAGAGTTTCAAGGCAGAAACCCATGAGTTGTGTTGAGTAGACCGAGAGTTTCTTGAAGTAAAGTTCTCTGATGCACGACAACATAAAGAGCACAGAAGTGTGTGTTTAGGGAAGAATCTTAAAATGCCATCTGCTTTCTGGAGGAACGTGAACATGGCAGATACACAAAGGAAGCTGTGAATTTTTCAGACTTCAGCTCTTGCCATTTGTCAAACAGAGAATTCTTCCAGCTATCTTTCTATCTCTGCATCTATCTGACAGTTCGACAGCACAGAGGCCCAAGCAGTCTAGACAGGGGCTGAGGTTCATGTCTCTCTGAGATGGAGGGACTGACCCCTCTGGTCCCACCCCTTATTAGAGTACAAAGAGCTGTTGAGTGAGCTGAACACACTCACACGGATCTTCTATGAGTGACAGTTTAAGGCTTTACTGTTCCACTCCAGCTCAAACCATACTTCATGAACCATAAATGGAGTCTGGTGCATTCCCTGATAGATCAATAGCAGCCTTCATATGGAGACATGAAGGGGCTGAGCAGCAGATGATAGAAACAAGGGGCGGGCAGCTTATGGAGAAATAGAT